TTCTGCCCGTACTGATACTGCAGCACCTGCATCGCCTCCTGGTTGGCTGGCCGCATGGGAAGGGGAGTGAGAAAGAGGGGGAACGTTGAAGGAACTGCTTGGTATGTCATCATAGTAGTCCCAGTGGACTCCATACCTCTGCCCGTACTGGTACTGCAGCACCTGCATCGCCTCTTGGTTGGCTGGATGGATGCGTGGGGTGTGATGTGAGACATGGGGTGTGAGAGAAGGGTTGTGAGAGGAGAAGGGAGTGAGAATGGGGAGTGAGAAAGAGGAGGAACAGGGTTGGGAAGGAGACACAGCAGCAACGCTACTGCTCGAGCTGGCACTGCGGTCTATCCAGCTGTGCGGTCTTATCATCGTAGTAGTCCCAGTGTGCGCCGTACTTCTTCCCGTACTGATACTGCAGCACCTGCATCGCCTCCTGGTTGGCTGGCCGCGGGGGTATTAGGAGAAGGGGGAAGAGGCTGAAGGAGGTGCGGGTCGGGTGGGTGGGGCAGGTGGAAACCCCAGGGGGGTTAGTTGGTGAATCCACTCGTGAACCTCTCGTCATTGTTCTGCCGCTGTTACAAAAGGTTGTTGTGCTTTGCTGAGCTGGCAAGGTTGACAGGTACGATACTCGTAATCGAATTCGTCTCCATTCCAATCCCCATGCTCATCCCCATAACTAACCCCATGCCCATCCCCATGCCCAATCCCATAACTAACCCCATGCCCATGCCCATGCCCATGCCCGAGGGGCAGGGGCGTGGAGAGGGTGGCTTACCTAAAGGTAGGAAGGTCCAGTCGCCAATGCGCTCCTCTATGCGCTTGATGACTGGGTCCTGGTGGTGACAGGGCGAGAGAGACAGGCGGTGCGAGGGGAGGTTTGCTTGAGTCACTTGTGGAAATGCTCTCAACAGTCAAACAAGCAGGTCCAGTCGCCAATGCGCTCCTCTATGCGCTTGATGACTGGGTCCTGGTGGTGACAGGGCGAGAGAGACAGGCGGTGCGAGGGGAGGTTTGCTTGAGTCACTTGTGGAAATGCTCTCAACAGTCAAACAAGCAGGTCCAGTCGCCAATGCGCTCCTCTATGCGCCTGATGACCGGGTCCTGTTGGGGACAGGGTGGGACAGGTGAGGGCACGGGAGGGAGACTGAGAGACAGGGGCGTGTAGGGAGGGGCTTGCCTTGCCTTGCCTAGGGGCAGGAAGGTCCAGTCACCATTGCGCTCCTCTATGCGCTTGATGACCGGGTCCTGGTGGTGACAGGGCGGGACAGGTGAGGGCATGGGAGGGAGACTGAGAGACAGGGGCGTGTAGGGAGGGGCTTGCCTTGCCTAGGGGGAGGCAGGTCCATTCGCCAATGCGCTCCTCTATGCGCTTGATGACTGGGTCCTGGTGGTGACAGGGGGAGAGAGACAGGCGGTGCGAGGGGAGGTTTGCTTGAGTCACTTGTGGAAATGCTCTTAACAGTCAAACAAGCAGGTCCAGTCGCTAATGCGCTCCTCTATGCGCCTGATGACCGGGTCCTGGTGACGCCAACGGGGGAGACAGGAGAGAGCACGGGAGGGAGTGTGTGTGAGAGGAGGGGGGTGAGCTTGATAATCAGGTCCTGATGGAAGAGGGCAGTCAGGCGGTGCAGGGAACGAGTGTGAGAGAAGGAGGGTGAGCTTGTGCCTTTCAGATAAGCAGCCATCGCTCGTCTCACCGTGTACTTCTCAATAGTTTGCCGCCTTGTACTTATCAATAGAGCAGTCATTTCTTATCACCTTGTGCTAAAATGACACGGCCCTTTCGTCTCACCTTGTACTTATCAATAAAGCAGCCATTGCTGGTTCGGATGGTGTCGACCACGCTCTTCCCTCCCTGTCCCACCACTGTCGACCGCTCCATTAGCGGGCGTGACTGCACAGGGAGAACCACAGGGGAAGTAGAGGGGAAAGGGGGCACAAAGGAAAGGGACAGGGGACGCAAAGGAAGGGGAGAGGCGGAGCAAAGGGAGGGGAGAGGGACAGACAGAACGGGAGGGGTGCAGAGAATCACGAAGCGGTGAGAATGATTGATGTATTCCCTCTCGTCACTACCACCATGAGCCAAGCGGGTGTTCAAAGTGCTGAATGCATAAGCGATAGGCGATGACACCGTCCATCCAGGGACGGACGTCACAAAGGGGTACAGTGCAGTGCTTCGCGGTTATGAATGGGCGCCGACACAAAGCAGAAATTGGGTTTAGGGAAGCGGGGGGGGACTGGAGAGTTGAGAGAAAACGGCAAGAGCAGCTACAAGCACGGAGCGATTCAAAGGAGTTTATATGGGGAGAAAAAGGTGGGGGTAAGACGGTAAAGGAGAGGAACAGAAGATGGAAAGGAATTAATGAAGTGGGCCGGGGTGAAATTATGCAGAAGATGTAACGACAGAACAAGGAAAGGGGAGAAAAGAAGGTGCGGCCAGGCGAAAGGGAGTGGTGTGGGAGGGTGATAGCATACCATGTTGACGATGTAATCACACTCCGCAGCAGAGAGGAAATTGGGATAGTGGAAGGCCCTGGGGGGGGGGGGGGGGAAACGCAATGAAGGAGGGTTTGAGGAGGGGGGTGACGGAGGGAGAGTGTGGGAGAGAGAGCAGGGGTATGGGGAGAGGGATGGGAAGTGTGGAGTGGAGGGACGGATAGGGGGTTGAGTGAAAAAGACGATAAAGGAAGTGCGAGGAGACGGAAAGCCCTTCACGATTTGTGGATCAAAGTAAGACAGGGTGTTGAGAGGAGGGATGGCGAGAAATGCTCAGGACCAAACCGTCCCCACATGTATCCCCGCATTAATCCCCACATTCATCCCCCCACCCAACCCCGCATCCACCCAGCATCTCCCACATCCCCCGCATAGTCTACCCCGTTAAACGCCTCTGTGACTCACCTGGGCTTCCATGCGAGCTGCTTGATTCGAGAGGGGTCCGGAATGTAATCTGGCGGGATGTTCAGTTCCGGCGCTGACAAGGTGCTGTAGGGGATCACACGTGTTACACGATGGGTTGCAAGGACACGTGACGTATTAGAAGTATCAATTCAAGGACACTAGACACGTGTTTACTTTCATAGTGCAAGAGATCTCGTCGCATCCTTTTTACAGCCGCGTGAGGTCAGCAGGTATGGTCAGGAAATGGTCGACAGAGACTAAGAAAATACAGCCTACTACATTAAGATATCACGAATGCGATGTCCTCTCTGAAAATCAAATGACGCAGTCTAGAGAGGTGGCCAGAAACCTGAACCAATGTTGGTGGATTAACATGTCAGCAGAGGTTATAACCCTAACCGGCGAAAATAACGAGCTGACTACCCTTTTTGCGTTTCATCGGTTGATAACGCCAACGCTGAAGCAGCCGCGAGGAAGAATGGAAGAAGAAATTCGAGAGCAGGATGCCCTTTCGGCATTTTGGAACAGCTTCGTACGCGCTATCAGATTACTTGTGAAACGCTCGACGAATTTCTTGCTCCACTAATAACGAGAATCAGAAACGACGAGGAGCGACTACTTGAATGAGTAATCCGAACATGAGAACGCTTTATTTTATTGCAACTAAGAGTCTATGCCTAGGAACAAGAAATGGCAGCCAGCCATTGATGTGGCTCTGGTATGGAATGTGTGAAAGTGACTGATGACTAGGGCGGAACACGAGTGCACCTGAGCTGATGGTTGGATGGCATGCCACATGGTTAAGTGAGATAGTTTGCGTGGCAAAGCGGTTCATTTTCACTCTTGTACCAACCTCCTGTGGTGAACTGGCATTGGAGTGGTGATGGTGAGGCGTGGAGATTCCAAGGTTTAGGCGACTGCACAAGAGCCTGTAACTTTCTCAGTTATTCGCGGGGATTTTGACGAAGAACGCTTTCTCGCTTCTCGTTTGGTGGATCCAGGCAGACAAGTCATATTGACCAATCAGCTTTGTTCTCGCTCCACCTTAGATTCTCGGGAACTGCGAAATTAGTTCGCGAAGAGCTATAGATGACCCGAGTTAGTTCGCGAAGCCAGGTTCCTCCCCCCTGGATTCTCAAGACACCAGGACATGACACCGGAACCCCATCAGAACCCTCTGAAATACAGACGTTATCTTAAAGCCAGGATCTCAAGTACCACAAATGTTTTGCAGTTGATGGTTGGAGCTTGGCTGCGATTGGTCGACGAGGTGCAAGGGGTGCAGCGAGGGGTGCGAAGGAAACTGAACTCGTTTGTGTGTGTCCGAACCTTGTAGGCATGGAGTTTGGTTCGGATCCGAAGCTAGAATGCCACAAATTTGCCGACAATCTCATGTTTCTGAAATTGTTTTGCATTTGGTGCTGGGGCAAAAGCTTGGGAGTGTCGCACGCCAAACTGCCTAGCCAACCAGTCTACTTCGCATACAGAAACGGGGTAACTGAGCGTCAACTGTTTTGCAATTGATCCCAATTTCTCTTACTTGAGATCCTGGCCGAATGAAAGTGGATTGCAGAGAGAAAATGTCTGCGCCCTTCATCCGCTCTTTCTCATCTAGTCCACAGCAATTTCAGCTGAGTTCAATTCAGCCGACTATTTTTCCAGCATTTCTCCTCTCTCCCATTCCCAGACTGCGGGCATCTATGTCATTTTCCCTTTTGTGTATTTTCCCAGCCACGCTCCTCTGAAACTTCTCGAGTGCACTCATACGATTCTCGTTATGGAAGCCAAGCGGTTATGGCTGCTCCTCGCCGTTATCTGCGCAGCATGGCCGAGACTTTGCTCATGTCAGGCGGAGTCCGAGGCGTATCCTGGATGGCAGGCGGACAAGTAAGGATCGAATTCCGTTTCTTACAATTACAGCTTAAATTTGGCTAGTATTGTCGCATGTTACAGCAGCAGAAGTTACACTGGATTATCCTGTAGAGTTTCCTACACGCGTTTCGGTAATTGATCTGTTCTAGTATCATACATATGTCCAACCGCTATAACTATTTTCCGTCCCCCACCCCATCATGTTTCACCACGAATTGTCATATCCCGTCAACCAGGTTCGGAGTGGCGATAAATCCCGCAGTGGCCGACGGGAACCTTACAGAACCGCGAGTCACCGTGCTTTCGTGGAAACCAAGGTACAAAATGAAGAAACTTCTAACTGCTTATAGCCATGATAGAATTTGTGCCTCTCTGGGAAGAATTTGTGCCCGTCCAGGAAGAGTATGGAAGGATCTGTTGCCTGTCAGGCGCTCCCAAACAGTGTGAAGCATACGCGAATCCAATTTAATCCCACTAGCCGTTATCGCTGTCGATGTAGTCTCTCCAATCCCATCACCTCTTTTTCTTCGACCGCGTTTTTAGGCAGGCTTCAGAACATCCACATCCCTCCTCCTCTCTCCATCGACCCTCAGAATCCCTCTTTTTCCTTCAACCTCCACATCCCTCCTTCGCCCTCCCCCTTCCCCATCCCTCGTTCACTCATGTTACCACCACCAGGGCTTTTTGACAATTCCACGAAGGCATTTCCCTCCACCTTTGAGGCGCCTCAAAAACCCACCACCCTCCCCATACCTCCACCCGTACAATTGTGCAACCTCCGTCAGGGCTTTCCTCTACCGCAATTTTCTGACGCCAGAGGAGTGCGACCACATCATATCCCTGGTGAGACTGAGTTGTGTTGTGAGGCGCCTCTAAAGGCCCTACAAGTTGAGGCGCCTCAAAAGGCCCCACAAGTTGAGGCGCCTCAAAAGGCCCCACAAGTTGAGGCGCCTCAAAAGGCCCCACAAGTTGAGGTGCCTCAAAAGGCCCCACAAGTTGAGGCGCCTCAAATTTCTCTTCCACAAGTTTCTGAGACCACTACAACAACCCCCCTGGCTTCAAGCATCTCATCTACCCACATCTTACCTGCCCACATCTTACCTGCCCACATCTTACCTGCCCACATCTTACCTGCCCACATCTTACCTGCCCACATCTTACCTGCCCACATCTTACCTGCCCACATCGCACCTGCCCACATCTTACCTGCCCACATCTTACCTGCCCACATCTTACCTGCCCACATCGCACCTGCCCACATCTTACTTGCCCACATCTTACTTGCCCACATCGCACCTGCCCACATCCCACGTGCCCAACCACCCCTCTCACCTGCCCACCTCTCACCTGTCGCGCGCCCCTCATCTGTTCCCCGAACCTCACCGCCAGGCTCGGCCGCGCCTGGAGCGGTCGGAGGTGGTGGCTCGGGAGGGCGAGGGCACGAACGTGGATGACGTGCGAACGAGCTTCGGCACGTTCCTGGACTACCAGCAGGTGGGGTGAAGCGGGGTGAAGGGGGTTGGGGGGTTCGGCACGCTCTTGTGAGCTGCTTATTCCCTCTGAGTGACGAGCTTCGGCACGTTCCTGGACTTCCAGCAGGTGTGGTGGGGGCTTACACTGTTTGGACTGGGCTGGGCTGGGCTGGGCTGGGCCGGGCTGGGCCGGGCTGGGCCGGGCTGGGCTGGGCTGGGCTGGGCTGGGCTGGGCTGGGCTGTGAGCTGCTCTTCCCACGAGTGATGAGCCCCTTTAACTGATGGTGGTTTGCTGATGGTTTGCAGTGCTCATGGCATGTGATTCTATGTGGTGCTCACGGCATGTGATGGTATGTGGTGCTCATGACATGTCTCTTGAGATTTCTCAGCTTAGCGCACAGTATGCCGTCGTGCTGTTGGTATGCCTTGGTTGCAGGGTTTCGGGAACGCTAGCTTTGATCTTCGTCTCCCACAGTTCCCCATCCATTCCCAAACCCCCTCTGAGACGTCTCGAAAGTTAGATTGCAGCTCCTGTCCTGTCTACTTTCCCGCAAGCTTCCATGTTCGCCCCCAAACGGCCCGATCTTCATTCCCCGCTTCGCTTTCCCTCTACTCCGTCTCCCCAATTTTCATCTTTCATCTCACTCGCTCCATGGTCACATGGGTCCAATCCTGCATGGATGCATGGCTGCATGGATGCATGGCTGCATGGATGCATGGCTGCATGGCTGCATGGATGCATGGTTGTATGGATGGGTGCATGGCTGCACATCAGGATGACGTCATCAAGGCCATTGAGCAGCGCTTGGCCGCCTGGACCTTCCTCCCTGTTGGTGAGTGACGTCATCAAGGCCATCTCTTCTGTTAGTTTCTCCGCTCATGGGAAGTGACCGACCACAACATTATTGATTGAGGTACAAGTAGCTGTACCCGTTATTGCATTCTCTTTTGAGGCACCTCACAAGAGAGTGGCCTCAATATCATTGTAGCTCTATCCGTGATTGCCCTTCCTCTCTGCCAGTCTAGCATCATTGAAGCGTGCAGTGCAGTGTGATGCGGTGCGGTGCGGTGCAGAGGTCTGAAAAGAGAAACCTATCTTGCAGCTTCTTTTTCCGTCCATGCTCAGGAAGCGAAGATGGTGCTGCGGTATCAAGAGGGGCAGAAGTACGGAGCACACCACGACTTCTTCGAGAAAGAGGCGGTGTGGTGCGGTGCAGTACAGTGCAAAGGTGTGACAAATGAATGTCATGTTTTTGCTCCTTTTGTTCTCTTTCCTAACGTCCAGAGAACCAGGAGGCGATGCAGGTGCTGCGGTACCAGGAGGGGCAGAAGTACGAGGCACACCACGACTTCTTTGAGAAGGAGGGGCAGCAGGGCGGCCACCGCTATGCCACGGTGCTCATGTACCTTACAGAGGGGCTGATGGGGGGCGAAACCGTGTTTCCAGATGCTAAGGTACGTGCAGGGTGGGTTTGTGGATAGCACAAGACTACTCGATGTCGGCAGCAGGGGCAGGAGGGACAGGCCACCGCTATGCCGCGGTCCTCATGTACCACACAGAGGGCTTGATGGGAGGCGAAACGGTGTTTTCAGATGCTAAGGTACGTGCTGCAAGAGCTGGGGTGAACCATGGGCAGGGGCAGGGGTAGGGACAGGGGCAGCAGGGCGGCCACCGCTATGCCGCGGTCCTCATGTACCTCACAGAGGGCTTGATGGGAGGCGAAACGGTGTTTCCCTACGCCAAGGTAGGGGCAGGTGCTTCTGAAGTTAAATTCTGTTCACATTCTGTTTCCTGCAGCAGTAGCAGGGGTATGGACGAGGGCAGGGGCAAGGGCAGGAGCAGGGGCAGGGGCAGGGGCAGGGGCAGCAGGGGGGACAGGGGCAGTAGGGGCAGGGGCAGCAGGGACAGGGGCAGCAGGGGAAGGGGCAGCAGGGGCAGGGGCAGCAGGGACAGCGGCAGCAGGGTCAGGGGCAGCAAGGGAGCCACTGCTACACCACTGTGGTCATGTACCTCACAGTGGGCATGGTGGGGGGCGAAACCGTCTTACCCGATGCTAAGGTAGGAATTGGAAGGGCTGGGGTGTGAATGTGTGAAGCAGGGGCAGGGGCAGGGTAAGTGCGAAGGGTCAGGGACAGCAGAGGGGCCACTGCTACGCCACGGTGCTCATGTTCCTTACCGAGGGCTTGGTGGGGGGCGAAACAGTGTTCCCAGATGCTAAGGTATGTATGTGCAGTACAGGAGGGCTGAGCGTGGGGGGTTGTGTGCAACAGCGAGAGTGAGTGAGAGGGTATCTGCAATGCTGTGCAGGACACAGGAAACAAAAGTATGCCTCTGATGACTGCTGACTCGATTCGAAGATGTCCTGATTCATCTGTATCTGCACCATACCAGGACCCTGTGGAGAAGGACGACACGTGGTCGGAGTGCGGCAAGCAGGGTGTGGCAGCCAAGCCAATCAAAGGCGATGCGCTCCTCTTCTTCTCCCTCACCCCGTCCGCCGAGCTCGACCTCAAATCCCTTCACGCTGGCTGCCCGGTAATTTCCGGCGAAAAATGGTCCGCAACAAAGTGGATCCATGTGGATGCCTTCTACACCCCCTCTGGAGCCCCGGCTGTAGCACCCCCCTCGGATGGGTCATGTGAGGACAAAGCGCAGCACTGCGTATATTGGAAGACTCAGGGCGAGTGTGACAAGAACCAGGAGTACATGAATGCTAACTGTCCTAAGTCGTGTGGTGTATGCTCGTCATGAGGTCAGGTGAGGCATCACAATGTCTGCCTTTTACGTAGTGTTTGAAATATGTGGCATCGCAACAGCGTGCTTTGTCAATAGAATGTGCTGAGTGTAATACTAGTTGTGTGATCCCCCCCGTAAAAACCAATGCCGCAACAATACGAGCAGTGATGTTTTTGTTTTCTATACAGGTGTTTGATCACATTGCCATTACAGGGTTAGATGTTCCAGGACCTTGCCCGTTTTATCGAATGGGGTTATGCGGTTACAGTTGTGTTACACCCGCTGTTCCTGTGTCGAGCCTTGCTGGCTCTCTTGCTTCCCGGTCAGCCCTTGTCGGCTCGGGCAGAGTCATTAGTTTGACTGCAGGGTCTCGCCTCACATCCCCCCACCCAACCCAACCACGAGCGGTCACGTCGAGCCGCGTCGGCCCCACCTCCAGCCAGCTTGCTTTCAGGCATCCACAGTGTACATGTTCGGGCATTTTGGAGTTTCTTGAACAGCGAAAAACTTGTGGTGTGTGATTACGGAGCCTCGGGCAGCACTGCACTCGGTGTGGCAGTACGGTACGGATGCACCCCTTTCTGAAGCAACAGCACCCTTTTTCTGTAAGCAACAGCACCCCTTTTCTGCAAGCAACAGCAGCAACGGGGCTCACGGGCAACAGGTTTCCTCGGAGGGATGTGGTGTGGTGTGGTGTTGCGAGCCTTGTGCTGTTCCCGCTCACCCGCTTAGCGGTGGCGAAAAGTTTTCATTTCATGCAGGGGAAGTTATGTCTGGCACCAATCAATCCCGGCGATTTTGCACTAGGCGAAGTTCCATTGCGTGTAGGACAAAATTGTGGATCATCTGACATGCACCAGAGATCAAGGCTAAGGACGTGGTACAGATCGCAACGATCTCACACAATCGGTGTTCGATTGGATCAGAACGCAATCGATTGGGTGTGATTGCCCCGATCTGACGCAATCAACATCGCCTCCCGCGCCACGCAATCTGACCAATGTGTTTCTTCGAGACAGAGCAGAATCTCAATCGCGCCTTCCAGGCGAGTTGTAAGTCCCTTCCAGCTCAAGCTGGCGAAACGAGGCGACCGTCCGTATCGCGCAATTACAAGGTAGGCCCCATTACGTCGCCAATTGTGTTGTTTGGTCCGGAGGTTCAGTCAGGAAAGTTCGAATGTCGCGAGATGTTCTGTATCAGCTTGGAAAAACGACATAATTTCGGTGGTTACTTATCGCTCACAGTCGCCAACATGCCCAATCTATCGGTTGCAATCGGTCGCAATCGATTGCATCAGATTGAGGCAATCTAACGCAATCGATTGCGATCTCTATTGTAATCGACAGATTGCCCCCGATTGCCCAAAAGTAACCCTTGGACCTTCTCGGAAATTAGGGATTGCGTAGATCGAGGCAATCAGTCTTAGATAGTCCCGATCTACACCACGTCCTAACAAAAACTGCCCGTTCCACGGTTAAACTCTACACCGTATATTCTGGCTAACACCCTAGCCCCACCCAGTAGTACAAGCGCAACTATCGACAGAACATGCGACCAGTGTTTACAAAGTGTGGTGGTTGTTGGAGCACTGCATGCTGTTGCCATTTGACACTGCTGCAGAGGAAGGGCAGATCAACAGCTCGTGCCCGCTAGAACCTCTGCACATTAGGTTTTAAGAAACGGTTAGGTGAAAGACAACTTTGAAAATGTGGAGTGACGCCAAGTGTTGGAGGGATTTATAGCTAACAATGTAAACAGATCGTGCAAATTCGCTCTATGGGGCTGGTATCCTCTATAAATACTGAGTAAAGCTATCCCTTTTTGTCTATTCGGGTCGATCATATAACTTTTACTCTGGAAACAAAATTTCGAGCACGCGGGCGGACGAGGCAATCCGCCATTTTCAACCACAGGCGAAATTAGATTTATTGATTAGTCAAGCATTTCAAAAGGAAATTTCAAAAGGAAAGTCCTGTCCTTGCTTATTAGTCAGCATTGAAGGAATATGTGGTGGCATTTGTTCCTCCCAGTTTTTTTGGTCTCTGAAGTGGGCATGGACCATCAACTGGTGCGTTACAAGTCATAATCAGGCATTATGAAATCAGAATACAATGTACAGTAAACAGATCGTGCAAACCCGTTTTCAGGGCACCTCGTCGATTTCTCCGAGGGTACATACCCCACCACAACAGTAATTTCAGCCACGGCAGCCCAAGTAACTGTGCATTCGTATGATCAGCAAGCGTCATCGTCCCTCCAACCACAACCAGGAGCGCTTGTTCGACAAACAAACACCCCCAAAACACTACTCCAACCACACTAAAATGTCTAACCCATCCACTCTCATCCCGCTGATTCGGGTCCAACCAATGGAAGCCCAACGTCGCGCCATACTGGATCCTGTAAATTCGACACCTCCACGTCTGTTACCTCGTGTTCTGACGTGGGTTCTTCGAGGACTAGGAAAGACACAAACTCCCTCCTTGCACGAGACAACTCTTGCGTTAGTGAACAGTACGCGGAGAACAACCGACCTAACCACGTGATTTGGTTCCAGCAATATAAAATTTGTTTGATAGGACCGTCCACTTGACGTCAAGCATTTCTACACCTTGAACTGTAGAAGTCTTGTCAGCCAGTCCCCCCCATACTCAGCAAAGAGGGGGGAGGGCCAGACCATTTCTACAACCAAACCATTTCATTCCAATTTCCCGCCAAGGCGGCTGCCTTCAGGGATTGGCGTGGCGACCCATCCCGGCTCGCACACAATCTCATCTCGGGTGAAAAATCATCAGGCACAGTCCTCATTCGTTGCGAATTGCGAGGGTTCAAATTGAGTCGAGCTATGAAGCTGCTACTGTGCACCACTGATAGTCCCTTAGGCAGGTGAAAATTAATATCCGCGTCAATTAGAGGCCCGTCATAACATCTCCATTCACGCGCACGCACTCTTCTCCTAGGGATTTAAAACCAGGCGTCATACCGCTGCGGTCGCTTGGCGCCTTCTATTCCAATCACCCTAAGCTCTCGTAGTGGGTGTCGAGGCGCGCACAATCGGCAATCCAGAATTCTGGCCGTGCAAGCGCAGTCGTTTCCACTTTCCACCAATTCAATTGCGCTCACTATCAGTAGTGGTAAATCCTCCGTCAGCCCCAGTGCCCCCGACTTCGTAAAGCGCCCCCGTCGCCGCCGCCTCCCCTGCGCGGGAGGACTCGTCGTTGCTGTAAATAAACGAACGGGGCCAGATCACGCGGGGCGACGCGGCAGAAAATCCTGAGTACAACTTAGAGGTTGTAGCTCAAACTCAGTATTGTAGACGATGAAGCCTGATTGCGAGTTTTTTAAGAGAGAAAGCCTAAGAGGCAAGGGTAGAGTATCTGGCGCTAGTGCCGCCGCAGAAGCCGCGAAGCCCGTTTCATCCGCTGCTCCGCGCCGGTCTGCATCGATGATTCCCCCCACGGCGCAAGCCGCGTCGCCCCCAGCAATCCCCGCACTTCAGCAAGCTAGTCGCCGCCAATCCACGCCTCGGCGTGCGGGGGAATATTCCATTTACGCGCCCATAGACCGTTGCGCGCCCGTCGACCGTTGCGCGTCCATCGACGGTTGTTCCCCCGTCGACCGTTGCGCATCCATCGACCGTTGCGCGCCCATCTACCGTTGCGCGTCCGTTGAACGTTGCGCGCCCATCGCGACGATTGATCAGGGGACGCGGCTGGAAGAGGCGTGGCAGCGTCACCACAACCTGTCGCACGCGGGATTCACGGCGGAAACAGCGCGAGACGAGCCGGAGCCTCGAATCGATGTGAAAATTGTGCGCGGGGGCGGCACGGCGGTGGTGGTGCGGTTCGGGTCGGAGTCGGGCACGATCAGCTCGCGAGACATAAGCGATTGGACCGTGGAGCACGATAGTCCTGCACCCTTGCCCTGCATCCCTGGTGCACGAACGTTTAACCCGGCGGGTTCGCCGGGGGAAGCCGCCGCCTCCGCCGCCGATGCCGCCGGCTCGGCGCTTCCCCGGGCGGAAAAGTCCGCTGCGGCGGCGGCGGAAGCTGCTGTCCGCGCTGGCGGGTATTCTGAGTTCCTCGAATGCGATTGCGGGCAGGAAGCGTGTCGGTGGAACGCCGGGGGAAGAAACATCCGGGGGATGATGATGAGATGTCCGCCTGTGCCTGCGCGGAGTGAGAGCGGAAGCAACTTCGGCGACGGCGACTCTCCGATTTCCTCCACAGAAAAGGCCGCGCTTGCACGCAAGGGGGGCAGCGGAAAGCAGAAACGAGTGGATGGAAAAGCTGTTAGGGTTGGCCGAGTGGATAAGGAGGTTTCCCGGAAGTGGAGGAAGCAGGGGGCTGACGTGGCGTCCGTTGGTGGCGGTTCTGGCGGAAAGAAAGTTGATCGGGTGCAGTTTGATGGGGCTCTGGTTTACCTTGGGCAGCAGGGAGCAGGTAGCTTGGTAACCAGTCATGGGTTACCGTTACCACCCCTGACGGCGGATCAAGAGAGGGACGCTGTGTGCGGTACTGGTGGTCGGTGTAATGGAGAGAGTGTGAGTGACAGTGCAGAGGAAGATGATGATTCCTCTGATGATGTTACGTCTGCATACTCCGCGTGCAATGGGGTGCAGAGGGAGCAGTATAAGGAGCTGCGAACGGTTGATGTGCCTTCAAATTCTCTTGCTGGTTGTGCTGGAGGTGCGAGCTGTAGGGAATCGCCTGAAGAACTTACTGAAGAAGCTATTAGAGCGTTGCGCCCAGATGCTCTGCTGGACTACATGTCCTCCAGATGCCTAGCCTTTGTTTAGTTCAATCCTAAGGTACTTACACCTTGAATCCATGATGCTGATATACAGTATATGCTAGCTTGTTTTAATCATTGTTAATATATTGATTTGTCGTGCTACACCTAAAGCCAGTTGCCTGTGCTGTGGTAAAATTCGCGACATGCAACTTAAGGTTATTTGTAGGTTCAATTCTCGTTCTTTGTAGGTACAGTGCGGTGCAATTGAATTCAACTTGACATGGAATGGCTCCTGTTCCGGCAGCCTTCAGAATGTCTTGTTAGGGTCAACTTTGACGCGGTTGAGTGAGATTTGTTGCGTGGCAGAGGTTTACGCTCTGTTGCCGAAACGGTTGAGCAGGTGCTTGAGCAAAACGTTTCTCCCAAACGTTTTTCCCCAACACCCCCGTCACGGGGGGAAAAGCCATCAGGGATTGATGGGTGTAAAATACATCATTCATCCACTAGTTTTGTCCACTTGATGCGATGCTGTCAGTGATGCCTTCTGGCATTCCCTCCGTAATTAACGCTCAAGCCATCCATCCGTCGTCGCTTCCTCTCGTGCCGCGACCGCGACGCCCGTTCGCGCGACGGAGGAGAATGTTGATTGCATGGCGAGAAGGGAGAAGCACCCCTAACCTTACCGCCGCGATCACTCGTCCCGCGTTTCAACTCTCAGTGCCACCCTCATGACTAGTTTGCAGCAAACTCCCGCGCTTGGGTTGGGAATGGAATGACCCAGATAAGGAAATGCTTTATACACAGACCTGACATACCTCCATTAGCACATGAAACGCCATTGCGTCATCTCCTCCAGTACATGAACCATGACGTCCCATCACCCGCGACGAGCCATCGCGGCGTTTCGCGACAGCACGCGCATCTTGAAACGGCTTTTGGAGCCGGCTAAGAAATCACCCTCGTTGATCTATCTCTTCTCTCCAATTCCGCGCGACGAGCCATCGAGGCCTTTCGCGGCACGCGCATTTCGAACGCCTTTTCGCGCGTTCCTCCCGCAATTCGAATGCGGATAGTGTTATCCCGCTGTGGATGCTCTAGTTTTGAGATGTCTCAAGACTCGGTTATGGCGCCTTGGGTTCCGACTTTTGAGGCGTCATTGAACCTGGATTAGCTGCCTTGCTCTCCGTCTAGCAAGGTTGCACGTTGCGGAGTAGCAGCGGCCCGAGCAACGCTTCCTGAAATTAGCAGCGCCACTGAATTACCGAATTGTTTTCTCAGCTGCTCCATGGCTCGTGACGAGCAGAGGCATAAAACTTTCCCTCAGGACTATGCCCCTTAGGATAAATAAAAAGGAGAATCCCAATACCCCAAGATGGAAAAGCTGACATGAGGAGATTACCCTCGATATTCCCCTGCGCATGCGTTGAAATCTCCCGCTATACTGTCACGTCTGCACGTGAGATCCATACTACTTGCTATAATCCATGCCACAGGAAGAGATAGATCGTGTTGCTTCGACCTTGGCGTTGCCTCGTTTGGTGGCAGAAGCAGTGGCGCCAGCAGCACCAGCAGCACCAGCATTAGCAGCAGCAGCAGCGTTACCTCCTGCAACACCATCGGCAGCAGCAGCAGCAGTGACAGCAATGGCGGAGGGAGGGTTGGGTCCGTTACCCTGCTGTCGCCTTGACACGATCCTAGAGGAACCAGGCGAGGATGACGAGGATTCGCGGGTGGTGTCACTCAATTCTCAGCCAGATTTTCAGTCAAGTGATCAGCAAAATGATGAGCGAAATGACGGGCGAAATGATCAGCCAAGTGACTCGTTGAAAAGCTGTGGGCGAACTGGAAAGGGGGGCGAGTTATTAGGGAGTACCCGGTTACCACCTGATCTTGAGCAGGACGCGCCCGATTGGTGGGCTCGCACACCTGAAATACCTGAGAAACGACAAGCAGAGCCAACCAGACGGAATGCTCACTGCCTGAAGCTCTTGTGGCAGGCAGATGCCAGTAAGGGCCGCGGCACAGGCAAGGGTGTTTTACCCCCGAAATTGGGCATGGGAGGTAGGAGTGCAATTGCAGGCATGGGTGATTCACCCCAGAAATTGTGTGTGGAAGGAGGGAATGGTGTTGCAGCCATGGGTGGTTTTCCCCCAGGATTGTTCGTGGGAAGTAGCAAGGGAGATACAGGGAACGGAGGAGAGGGATTGGGACGGACGGAGGTGGGACGGGGGGAGGAGGAGGGTGGAAAAGTGAGGGAGCGAGGGAGTGGGAGTGGGGAAAAGAGGGAGGGGAGGGCAGGCGACGCATGGGGGAAAGGTGGGGGATATATGAGTGGGTTTTGCGTTCCTGTTTGCATCTCTGGGGGATTTGATGGTGGAGGGGCGTTTGGGGAGGAGGAGGATGGGACTGGGCTAGATAAGACTGATGAGATGGAGGGGGGAGAGGAGGGTGAGGAGGGGAGTGAAGGGGAGAATGCGGACGATTTTGTGGAGGAAAAGGGTGGGATTTCTGTGGGGGATGGGCTAGATGAGGCTGATCGGATGGTGGGGGGAGAGGGGGATGAGGAGGGCAGTGAGAGGGAGAATGTGGAGGAGGGTGAGGAGGGGAGTGAAGGGAAGAATGTGGAGGAGAGTGAGGATGGGGAGTGTGAAGGGGAGAGTGAGGAGGAGGAGGAGGAGGAGGAGGAGGAGGAGGAGGAGGAGGAGGAGGAGGAGGAGGAGGAGGAGGAGGAGGAGGAGGAGGCGTCAGTTGAGTGTGATTCAATCAAGAGAGATGACGGGCGAGAGAGCGAGGGAGGTAGGGAGGGGATTGAATTACTGGAGCAAGTACAAGACGTTGAAGGGGGGTTGCTACGGGTGGGTGGGGGGAAGCAGGACAATGGGTCATGGCAGCAAGGGGATGAAGGGAAGCAGCAGGGCTCTGTGTCAGGATTTGATGCGCTGTGGAAGTCAGCAGGTGAGGTGGAGCATGTTGAGCAAGTTACCCGAGAGGGGTTGCTACAGGGGGATGGGGGGAAGCAGCAGGGCTTCGAGGTGTGTTCAAATGCGCTGTGGAATTCAGCAGGTGAGGTGGAGCATGGTGAACAAGGCGTTAGAGAGGGGTTGCTACAGGGGGATGCAGGGAAGCATGGATCAGTATGGCAGGCAGAGGGGTTGCAGCAAAGCAGTGGGGCATGTGAGACTGATGGGATGAAGGTGGGTGACGCCTCGTGTGAGACCGATAGGGAGGGTAAGACAGGTGACGGGACGTGTGAAACTGGTGGGATGAAGGGGGAAGAAGCGCAGAGGGAGAAAGCGCGGGGGTGGATGAGGTGGAAGGTTTTGGCTGCCGTGGGTGCTGCTGCTGTGGTCGTAGGCGGGGCTGCTGTGATTATGGCGAAGGGGAGGGACTGGAAGAGGGGAGGGAGAGAAAGGAGAGGGGAGAGGAGGGAGTGGGGGCAGCAGAAGGAGGAGAAGTGGAGGGAGGCAGATTGGATGGGTCTGGAAAGGGAAAGGGAAGAAACGGGGGAGGGAAGGCAAGAGGGGTCAGAGAGGCAGGGGGAAGGGGAAGGGCATCGTGTCAATATTTGGGGTAAGGGGATGGGAGAGGAGGCGGAGGAGAGAGAGGAGGGTAAGGAGGGAGATGAGGGGGAGGAGGGATGGTTGGTGCAAAGGGGGGATAGGAAGGAGGTGAGAGGGAAGGAAGGTGAATGGAATGAGGAGTGGGTGGTGGAGCAGCAACAAGGAGATAAGGGGGAGGAGGGACGGTTGATGCAAGAGACGGAGAGGAAGGAGGTGCGAGTGAAAAAAGAGGACGAAGGAAATGGGGATTCGACGGGGGAGCAGCAGCAGGGGGGTGAGGAGGGGAGGGTGGGGGAGCAGAAGCAGGGGGGTGAGGAGGGGAGGGTGGGGGAGCAGAAGCAGGGGGGTGAGGAGGGGAGGGTGGGGGAGCAGCTACAGGGAGAGGAGAGATGGATAGTTGAGCAGCAGCGGCAGCAGAGGGAGCGAGAGAGGAGGAGAGCTATGTGGGGTGGTTTGTGCTTTCAGGGGGGTGGGATAGGGTTTGGTAAGGGGGATGAAGAGGAGGGAGAAGAGGGAGAGGAGGCGGGGGAGGAAGAGGTGGAAGAGGAGGAACAGGAGGAAGAGCCTATGTCCATGTGAGTTGTACTTTTGAGATGTCTCATGGGTTGTACTTTTGAGATGTCTCATGGGTTGTACTTTTGAGATGTCTCATGGGTTGTACTTACTCCATTGTGTTAAGTCGATATTTGAGTCGACTAAAAAATTGACTTATCACACGCGAGTTGTACTTACTCCATTGTGTGCATTCATGCTGCCAATGCTCCCTCGTGCGTTCATGTAGGACAGCAGGTACAGCAACAATGGAAGATAAGCTCCATACCACCGCTTGGCATGCCTTACCACCGCTTGGCATGCCTTACCACCGCTTGGCATGCCTTACCACCGCTTGGCATGCCTTACCACCGCTTGGCATGCCTTACCACTTCTAGGCATACCCCTATCACGTTTCTCCCGTGCTCATTTTGCTCATTCTCGTCTGCTTGTTCCCCTTCCCGTGTCCTCCTCCCATGCGTGTCCCCGTTCCCTTGAGTCACTCCATCGACTCGTCATGCCGCGTGTGTGTGTGTGTGTCTGTTTGTGTGTGTGTGTGTGCGTGTGTGTGTGCGTGTGTGTGTGTGTGTGTGCGTGTGTGTGTGTGTGCACGTGTGTGTGTGCGTGTGTGTGTGTGCGTGTGTGTGTGTGTTGGGCCTTTTTATCATGCCGTGTGTGTGTTTCTGTGTTGAGTCTTTTTATGGATTCACCAACCGAAGCAGGTTCATCAATCGTTTCGAGGCAGAGGCAGAGGAAGAGGCAGCAGCAACAGTGGAAGAGCGATTCCTTTCCAGCCTTACCGTGCCTCCCTGTGACTATGGCGAATATGACAATTATCGGGGATATGGCAGTTATAGCCAGTATGGTTATCATTGGGGCGATCGAAGTGCTGCTGGTGACTATAGTGAGGGAAGAGAAGGGAGGTGGAGAGAGGGGGTGGGGATGGTGGAGGGAGAGGAGGGAGAGGGGGCGGATGGGGAGGTGGAGGAGGGGAGTGGAGGGGAGGAGTGGATGTATGAGAGGGAGTGGGAGGTGTTTGTGCAGACACTGAGAGAGGGGGAGAGGGGAGGGAGTGGGGAGGCACAGAGAGAAGGGGAGAGAGGAGGGAGGTGGGAAACACTAAGTGAGTGGGAGAGTGAAGGGAGAGGGGAGGGAGTGAGAAAAGGAGGGGAATGGGCAGGGAAAGGAGGGACAAGAGGGGGGTTGGATTGTGGAGTGGTGGTGAGGGGTACAGAGGTGCATGGTGGGGATGCAGAGGCTGATATGTGTGATGATGGAACAACGGTGTGTGCTAGGGAGTGGGATACGATTGAGTGCGATGAAAGAGCGAGCGAGTGGGATGGGAAGGAGTGGAATGGGGTTGATTGCGATGGGAAGGAGTGGGACGGTGGTGGACGGAGTGGGACGGAGTTGTGTGGGGAGAATGGTGGCCTGTCACAAGGTAGTAGCAACGGTGACGACGAGCCTTGCTGTCCGCTTGACTACAGCCCTGTATGTTATCCTGGTTATGGTGCTGCTGGTGGTGATGCTGGTGATGATGGGGATGGTGGGGGCGATGGTGTGTGCTATAGTGAGGGGGAATTGTCAAGCAAATGTGTGGACCAGGAGGGGGAAGAATGTGATGATCCGGCGAATCGCACAACAGCGCCGTACAGTCGCTCAGTGTTTGACAGCATTCTCCATCAAGGCTCCATGGCGGCATCGCAGTAAGTCAATTCATCCATCCAGCCAGCATGCCTCTGATCCGCCTCAAGAATCGCCTAAGAATACGCATGGAATTTTTTAGGTGCGTGAGTATCATGCGTGGCGGCATGCCGTGCGTGTACGAGTATCAGCATCCTCCTTCTTGATGCGCCATGGCAGCATCGCAGTTAGTGAGTCAATCCAGCATGCCTTCATTCAGGCATGTCAATCCAGCATGCCTTCATTCAGGCATGTCAATCCAGCATGCCTTCATTCAGGCATGGCGCCTTGAAATTCCGAAAGCTCCTCTGTGAATGGCCACCGCCCCGCACCGCAATTCACCATGCCAGCATCTATCTACTGCAAACCTCACCGTTCCTTAACGACACTGAAACTGCGACTCCTGTTTGAGTTCTTGGCGTCACACCCTCCTATGCATGTGCGTGCCTATTCCTGCCAAACCCCCACACCCACCCCCCCCACACCCCCCCCCCTCAACACCCCCGTTCTTTTTGCTCCCCTTTCCTATTGCTGCACCCCAACCAGTTCAAAAAACCCGTTTTTTCCCTCCCTTCTTTCATTCTCGTCTTTCCTCCCCTTTCCTCTTCACTCCTCCCCTTGTTTCTCCAGATTCCCTGATCACCATTCGAGGGGATCTCACCCTCCCTCTGTCCCAGCTCCTGCCTCTAGCCACACTCCCCTTGTGCTCTACCCCAAGCCATTCCACACTGATGAGGGCGATGACCATGACGCTGGTATTGAAGCAGCTTGTATCGAGGACAAACTGGCTGCCCTGAATCAAAGACAGGACCAGTCGTGGAGCCTGGGTCGGGTTTTTTCCCGGGCAGCTGATTGGTGGCTGCGGGCAGGAGAAGAATTACGGGCAGATGAATCTGATGGGGAGATGGGGAGAGTGAGGTATGGAGGGAGATTGATAGGGAAGGAGAATGCTTCTAGAGTGTATTGTGAGAGAGGAGTGATTATAAGGGGGGGTGCTTGGGGTGTTGAGACAGCTCAGAACGTGATAATAGAGGCAGGTGGTTTGGAGAGAGGGGTTGGGAGTGGGAGGGAAGGTGAGCAGATATGGGTTGGAAAGAAGGGGAGGAGCAGGGAGGGCAGAGGGAGCAGGAGTGGTAAGGGAAAGGGAGGGCTGCGAGTGGGTAGTGAGGAGGAGAGTGAGGCGGGGAGTCCGGAGGAGGTACGGGTGAGTATGGAGGAAGGGAGAAGCGAGGAGAGTGTGGGTGAAGGGAGCAGCGACAGCAGCAGCTGCGGTAGCAGCAGCCCCACAGGCAACAGCAGTAGCAGTAGTAGGAGCAGCGGCGGTAGTGGTACCGGAGGCAGTAGCATCAGGGGCGGCAAGAGCAGAGACAGCAGGAGAAGCAGGTTGCATTTGCCGTCTTTTCTACTACAAGTTGTACATTCATTTGGGAAGTAGACAGACACTAGACAGCTTGTACGGTAGGTGGGAAGGAACTGGGCCGTCTCAATGGGAAAGCAGGAACAGCAAGGCAAGGGGTTACCGTATCTGCTGCCTTGGGAAAGCTGAGCGGCACTGGATCTGTTTTTTGAGAATTCTCAAAACGGCAGTGACCCACTGGTGAAGCATGCTATGGTGTCATCACAGTCCATGGAGAAAGGTTCCATTCCATAGATGTGTCTTTGTGTATGACGTTATGATTCATGAACATTGCTTCATTACAAAGATGTGTCTTTGTGTATGACGTTATGATTCATGAAGCACTTCTATTATAGTACAGTAACTTGTTTTCTGGCTTCCAGGCTCCAGCTTTGATATTTTCTTTGATGGAATTGTGTTAATTCCTGAAATTACACATGCCATTGCCTGTAATGAAGCTCACACATTATCAGGTACAATAGAAACTAGCCAAAGCAGAACCCAGCACCAAATAAACTAGATTTACCGCAGGACTCGACCAACCAACACATCATAACTTTCGCTGCTGCTCCTGGTTGAAGCAGCAGCTTACACGAAAAATGATCTAAAACACTGGTTAGAACTTAGTACGTGGACTAGCTAGACTACTTGCCACAGCGCAGTAGCAGGTGACAAGCAAAAGAGCAACACTTGAATCTGCATCTGCCATGGCTGCTTCCTTTTATCTTAGCTTAACATAACCGAGCCTTGTTGGAACTTGTCGAACCATCTCTACTCCTCCTATCACTCGGAACACACATGCCCGCCCCTCCTCTCACTTGGGGACATACATGCCCGCCCCTCTTCCCTTGACCTCCAGCCTGGATGAAAGTGGGGGGAGAGAGGGGAGAAAAGACGGCATGAGAGGGGCATATGGAGGCGTGATAGAGAGGGAGAGAGAGGGAGAGAGCAGGAGAGAGAGGGAGAGAGCAGGAGAGAGAGGGAGAGAGCAAGAGAGTGAGAGAGCGGGCGAGAGACAGAGAGAGACCTACACAGGCAATCCTCCCACAGCAATCCTCCCACGACAATCCTACAAAACTCACGAGGGGGCGAGCTTCCCGAGCCCAGGAGGGAGATCCTCCCCAGTGGCAGCATCAACCAGGTTCCCGTCAATATCCAGCAGGTATGCCACTCCCGGCTCGTCCGCCAGCCTTCACCTTTGCCCAAAACCCCACCTGTCCCCAGACACCTTTTGAGACGTCTCAAATCTCATAAGACACCTCCCACACTCACGTCTCAAAAGACACCTCCCACACTCACCTCTCAAAAGACACCTCCCACACTCACGTCTCAAAAGACACCTCCCACACTCACGTCTCAAAAGACACCTCCCACACTCACGTCTCAAAAGACACCTCCCACACTCACGTCTCAAAAGACACCTCCCACACTCACGTCTCAAAAGACGCCTCCCTCACTCACGTCTCAAAAGACGCCTCCCACACTCACGTCTCAAAAGACACCTCCCACACTCACGTCTCAAAAGACACCTCCCACACTCACGTCTCAAAAGACACCTCCCACACTCACGTCTCAAAAGACACCTCCCACACTCACGTCTCAAAAGACACCTCCCACACTCACGTCTCAAAAGACACCTCCCACACTCACCTCTCAAAAGACACCTCCCACACTCACGTCTCAAAAGACACCTCCCACACTCACGTCTCAAAAGACACCTCCCACACTCACTTCTCAAAAGACACCTCCCACACTCACGTCTCAAAAGACACCTCCCACACTCACGTCTCAAAAGACACCTCCCACACTCACGTCTCAAAAGACACCTCCCACACTCACGTCTCAAAAGACACCTCCCACACTCACCTCTCAAAAGACACCTCCCACACTCACCTCTCAAAAGACACCTCCCACACTCACGTCTCAAAAGACACCTCCCACACTCACGTCTCAAAAGACACCTGCCACACTCACGTCTCAAAAGACACCTCCCACACTCACGTCTCAAAAGACACCTCCCACACTCACGTCTCAAAAGACAACTCCCACACTCACGTCTCAAAAGACGCCTCCCACACTCACGTCTCAAAAGACACCTCCCACACTCACGTCTCAAAAGACACCTCCCACACTCACGTCTCAAAAGACACCTCCCACACTCACGTCTCAAAAGACACCTCCCACACTCACGTCTCAAAAGACACCTCCCACACTCACGTCTCAAAAGACACCTCCCACACTCACCTCTCAAAAGACACCTCCCACACTCACGTCTCAAAAGACACCTCCCACACTCACGTCTCAAAAGACACCTCCCACACTCACGTCTCAAAAGACACCTCCCACACTCACGAGGGGGCGAGCTTGCCAAGCCCAGGAGGAAGGTCCTCCCCAGTGGCAGCATCAACCAGGTTCCCGTCAATGTCCAGCAGGTATGCCACTCATGGCTCATCTCCCACTCACGCCCACACTACCCAACCCAATGGAACTCACGAGGGGGCAAGCTTCCCGAGCCCAGGAGGGAGATCCTCCCCAGTGGCAGCATCAACCAGGTTGCCGTCAATATGCAGCAGGTATGCCACTCCCGGCTGAATGACTGTTGGCAGGTCCCTCACCCGTAATCCTCCCACACTCACGAGCGGGCGAGTTTGTCAAGCCCGGGCGGCAGGTCAGGTCCTCCCCAGTGGAAGCGTCCACCAAATTGCCGTCGATGTCCAGCAGGTACGCTTTTCGAGTCGACTAAAAAATTGAGTCGACTAAAAAATTGAGTCGACTAAACAATTGAGTCGACTAAAAAATTGAGACGACTAAAAAACCGTCTCGACTCAAAAAGCGTCCACCAAATTGTCGTCAATGTCCAGCAGGTACGCCAACCCCCCCCCCCCCCTCCCCCTTCGTCTCTCACTCATGCCCACACCTACACACACAGCATAAGTGCCTGGGAAACTCACGAGGGGGCGAGCTTGCCAAGCCCAGGCGGCAGGTCCTCCCCCATGGCAGCATCAACCAGATTCCCATCCATGTCCGGCAGGTACGCCGCCCCCGACTCATCTGCCAGCCATCCCACACTACCTAACCCAATGGAATTCACGAGGGGGCGAGTTTCCCCAGCCCAGGCGGCAGGTCCTCCCCAGTGGCAGCGTCAACGAGGTTGCTGTCAATATCCAGCACGTACGCCGCCCCCGGCTCGTCCGCCAGCCCACACCCATGCCCAGAACCCCATTTGTGCCGAGACACATCCTCCCACACTCACGAGGGGGCGAGCTTGCCGAGGCCAGGAGGGAGGTCCTCTCCAGTGGCAGCATCAACGAGGTTCCCATCAATGTCCAGCAGGTACGCCACTCCTGGCTCGTCCGCCAGCCCGCGCTGCATGAGTATATCCAGGTCCCGCCGGTGCAGCTCTCTCCCGTTCACCACCACGCGCGTGCGCCCTCCCGATGCCTGCCGCTGCAGCGGTCCTAGCGCGATTTGGTGTATGCCCGCCTGGGGGATCGAGCATGGGGGAGAAAAGGGGGAAACAGGGGGGAGAATGGGGGAGAGAATGGAGAAAGATAGGGGAAACGGGGGTGGGAACCGGGCAGATGAGGGTGGGCAGGAGGAGACAGAGAAAGGAAGAGCGGGTTGGTTCGTCCACCAACCCGCCTCGCTGCATGAGAATGTCCAGGTCCCTCTGGTGCAGCTCTCTGCCGTTCACCATCACCCGCGTCCGCCCTCCCTATGCCTGCCCCTGCAACGGCCCCAGGGCGAGTTGGTATATGCCCGCCTGCAGGGTCGAGCAGGGTGGGGGGTGGGGGGGAGAGGGAGGTAGAGAAAGAGTTGGTGCAGCTCCCAGCCCTTCACCACCACTCTTGAGTCGACTCAAAAGTGACTCTTGAGTCGACTCAAAAGTGACTCTTGAGTCGACTCAAAAGCACCTCGTTACAATGGCACACGACACTTGTTGAGTCGACTCAGAAGAGGGAGGTAGAGAAGGAGTTGGAGCAGCTCTCTGCCGTTCACCACCACTCGCGTGCGCCCTCCCGATGCCTGCCTTTGAAGTGGACCCACCGCCAGCTGGTGTATGCCCGGCCGGAAAATTAGTAATGGAGGGAAAAATGGGAGGCGAATGTGGGCATGTGGCATGCGGCATGCAGGCATAGGGCATGGGGCATGGGGCATGTGGCATAGGAAAATACTCACAGGAATAATGCCGAGGCAGAACCAACGCAACGCACAACTCCCTAGAAACGACTTCTGAGAGCGACTTACAGGTCACGTGCAGCATGGCGCATTGTGCATGGGGCGTATAGCTTGGGGCATGCGGCATGGGGAAGGACTTACAGGGATGATGCCGAGGCAGGGCCCACCCACCACTCCCCAGAAGCCAGCATCCACGTCATACCTGCAGATATGAGAGAGGAGGGGGGGTGGAGGAGAGAAAGAGGAGATTGAGAGGAGAGAGAGAGAGAGAGAGAGAGAGAGAGAGAGAGAGAGAGAGAGAGAGAGACTAGATTGATAAGAGGCTCCTGAAGTGACTCAACAGCCTCTACACTGTTAGAGTGACACTATTAGGGTGACACACCAATAGAGTGACACACTAACAGGGTGACACACTATACACGATTACAACATTTCTATGCTTGCTATTTGAAATCCAGCCAACATACCAATAGGTGCCCGGATTAATGGGCCCAGCTAGCCTCTCAGCTTCTGCCACCTGGCGATCCGGGATTGGCACACTGTTCACCACCACTCTCCTCCGATACTCCTGGCCGTTTCCTACTCTCTCCTCCTCCTCTTCCTCCTCTTCCTCCTCCTCTTCCTCCTCTTCTTCCTCTTCTTCCTCTTCCTCCTCCTCTTCTTCTTCATCTTCTTCCTCCTCCTCTTCCACACCTCTCCTTCCCCCCACCATTCCCCCTCGTCCCCGCCCCATTTGTGCCCCCCGCCCCATCATCCCCATCCCTCCCCTCCCTGGGGGCCCACCTCCCCCTCCGCCTCCGCCCCTCCCCGACCCCATGTCCCCCCGCGCCATTCCTCCTCTCCCCGCTACTCTCGGGCTCCCCACACCTCTCCCCGCCATGCCCCCTGCACCCATAGCCCCTCCACCCATCCCCCCACGCCCTCCGCCCATGGGGCTGGGGCTGGGCGCACCATCCGCGGGATCCATCCCTTGCTGCTGCATCTGCCCGTACTGCTGCTGCTGCCCGAACTGTTGCCCGCCCCGCCCGCGACCTCTGGGGGAGGGGGAGGCGGGGTTGAACCCCCCCGAGTGCTGCCTCCCCAAAGGCGACCGCCCATCCCCCCGCGCACTCCCTGGTCCATACTGATACTGCTGCTGCTGTTGCATCATCTGCTGCTGCTGCTGTTGCTGATAATACTCCTCGTCTCCGCCCCGACTTCCGTTCCCCCTTCTACCAGCCCTTCCGCCCCCCATAGGCCCCCCTGGCCCGTTCTCCCCTCCGCCATCCTCCCATCCGCCTCCTCCGCCACCCATTCCGCTTGACTCCACAGACGCTTTTCGCGAGTGCGGCTGGGGGAACGCTCCGCCACGCCCTGCCCCCCTTGCACTGCGCGGACCTGCGCCTGCTAGCTCCCCGCCCCCGCCCGCTCCGCCTCCCCCCGGGCCTGGCCCTGCGCCCCCGTATTGCGCCTGTTGGCGCGCGCTGCTGTTGCTAGCCGCGGAGCTATTCGAGCCTGATCTGCGGTGTCTGCCTGCTGGCGGGGGCGGAAAGGGCACTCCCCCTCCCCCCTGCTCCCCATACTCGTTCCCCGCGTCACTCTCCCCTCCCCCGCCTCCTCCGCCCGCTCCTCCGCGCGCTGCCCCGCTCACGCTCCGCCTGCCCCCGGGCCCCCGCATCCCCGCCCCTGAGTCGTCCTCTGACATATTCCCCGCGCCCCTGCTGACGCTTCTGCTTCCGCGCCCTGCGCCCATCGCCCCCGCCTGCTGCTGCGCATTGCCCTGGAAACTCCGCGTTCTGAAAGTCCCCGTTGACGCGGACCTTCCGCGCGCGGAGAGCGCCTGTTGCTCCTCGTCCTCTTCCGCCACTTCCGCCTCCTCCCCTTGCTGCTGCTGCTGCCGCCGTTGCCGCTGCTGCTGCTGCTGTGGCGGCGGCGGCTGATCTTCCGCCTCCTCGTCCTCTTCCGCCGTGGGCGGAAGGAAGACCGCGTAGCGCGACACCTTGAGGCACTTTCCGCACCGCAGCTTCTGCTGACCTTTCTTCGGCGGAGGCAGGTTTATTGGCACGGCCAGGGTTTGGAAGCACCACTGACACTGCAGTGGGTGAGAGATGGGGAACGGGGAGCGGGGACGGAAAGCGGGAAGCGGGAAGACGGAGAGGTTCAGGGAATGCTTAAAAGGTGCAGACTCCCCCACACACACGCACAGACTCCCACCCGTTCCCCCCAACTTACGACGCGACACATACGCGCATCCACTGATTCTTAGGCGGGCGCATACCTGCACGACTTGCGGAGCCTTTTGTGTATTTCGCCGCAGGCGCATACCTGAACGACTTGCGGAGCTCCGGGCGGCGGAAGCATGGGCAGTCGCTGCCGCGGAACGTCCTTCCCCGAGATCGTCCTATTGTCCGCCCCGCGCCCCACCGCCGCAATCGTCTTCGCGCGGAAATACTGCACCTGTTCCTCCCCCCCGCTCGCGCTACCGCTTCCGCCCGCGCCGAGTTTCGAGCGCGAGGGCGCGGGGCTGCGCGGATCGCGCGCGGAAGCTGCGGACATGGCGGACATGGCGGAGACAGAGGAGGAGGAGGAGGAAGTGCGCGAGACGGAGGGGCGAGCCCCGCCTGGCCGCCGTTCGTCGTCGAGCATGCGTTCGGAATGGGCCGAACTGACCGAGGCTTGGCCGAAGCTGTTGGTTCGGGAAAAACGCTCGTCCTGTCGAAATGGGAAAGCGCCACGTGGAAGCAAGACGACGGGAGGGCGTAAACAGCAGCAACCGCTGATAAAAGCCGATGATACAAAAACACTGCGCAGAATAAGAGTAAGAAATAATCAATAAAGACATCGTTAAAAAAGAGTCCTGACAGATGCAATTCCTCACCTCATCCATGGGTTGTCGTCTCGATGCACTCCGTGATGAGCTGTACCCGCTTTCCTGCCCGCCCATGTCCATACTCTCGTCCCCCGACGGCTGTCTCCGCCTACTCGCCGATCCCCTCCCGCCACCCCCCCTGGCATACCCGCCACGTGGCGACGGCGACGGCATACCACGTGGCGTCATGTCATCTTCCGAGTACGCTACCGGGTTGCTGTACGAATGGGTTCTGTTCACGGTGGGACCGTCTTGCCATTGATCCGGTCGATCACCTTCGTCGTCTGAACGCTCAGACGACTGCTTTTTGACGGACTTGACGGTCGAGCGAACGGCGCCGCCTCTGCCTCGCCCGCTTCCGCCAGACGCTACCCGAGACGCTCCGGGAGTAGTTGGGTTCATACCATTAGGGTTTCGTCCTGGGCTGGCTGTGATTCCTAGACTGCGCGGCGGCCATTGGCCTTGTCCCGATGAGCGGCCCGGGCCGTCCATGTTATGTTAAGGAGTTGCGCCGTGTACGTCGATCTAGATTGACTGACTAAACTGGTAGGTCTAAGAAAGCGTAATATGCTTAGGCAAGAGAACGTAACTATCGCGTAGAAATGCCAGAAAGTCCGACGATAACGATTAATGGTTATATAAAGAGGCACGTAGCTATCTGTAATTGGAAAAAGCAAACAGTTGGTGCGGTACTAAGTCGAAGAGAAACGGAAAACATAGCCAGGATAACTGACCCATTAGAAGCACGAACGAGATACGTCAATTCCGGAAACCGAAACACACTCCCTATAAGGAGTCGGTGGCGTGAACAGGGTGAGCGAGCCATCTCTTTCTATTCATAACTACGACAGAGACAACGGCGCACGCCATCCTAGTAGTCTTCACCAAAAAATGGCGGGAGAAATTAGGGTTCCCTAATCAGAGAAATTAGTAGTGCAAGTCAAGAGATAACAACACTTAGGCAATGCACCACCTCTGGAGGTGTGGTGTGGTGCGGTGCGGTGTGGCAGAAGGTGCTGCTCCTGCTGGCTGGGCCTAGAAATTGGGCGCTGACAAAAATTTGGCGGTTGGAACTTGGAACTTGGCCCTAAGTTGATGAAATGAAGAGGAGGAATCGAGGAAGGGAAAATATGCCGTTCGTAACCATCATGGGACTCGAAAACATTTTTGGTAAAAAAATAAAGGGTACGGTCACTGCAAAGGGTGTTTTCACGCGACTGATAAAGCGTTTCACGGAATCAGTCACAATCAGCTGGTAAAAAAAAACGCGAATGGTCACAGATGAAACTCCCGCCAAAACAAAATGAAACCCAGAAAGAACCTGGATGCATTTTCGGATGATCAACCCTAAACACGTAACTCGCCAGGTGTTTAGGGTTGATCCGTTCCCAAACCGCTTCCGATTCCGATTGGGTTTTAGTTTTTTTACAAGTTAGCAGATTGGTTGGGCGCGAGCGGGAATTTTGTTGAGTTTCAAGTTTTTTTGGCGGGAGTTACATGTGTGACCATTCGCGTGATTCTTTACCTGTTGTTAGTGACTGAATCCGTGACCCCGCTTACCAAACCCGTCAGAAAACCCGATACAGTGACCGTACGCGTTTTTTTTTTACCATTCACGTTATCGAGTCCCAAGTTGGTTACTTGTGGCATATTCTCCCATCGAGGAAGGCCAAACTGGACGAGAAGTACAGTGCGAAATACTGGCAGCGGATTGGCCAGCTGGCTGAGTGCCTGCCTGTACACCTGTTCGGGCGGGTCGCGTCGGTTTCTTTGCCGTCATGGCGTTATAACGAGCACGATATACCGAGGCAGACACAATGGGGTTTTGCTCCATAGAATTGCTGCTCCGTGACCTGCCTGCCACGAACAAGCAATAAGAAGCGTGAACGAAACTCCACAAGAACTATCAATACAAATATCCCTGACCTGAACACTTAGGATAGCCCCTTATACCGTACAAATCAATGCATGTACACTGTGAAACAAACAACAATACTACACCGATTCACTTCTCAAACAACTCTTTGCATCTCATGCAGCACTAGTCTTCAGTACAATAAATTCAAAAGTTTAACCAAATCGACTGGATTGGCTGCCAAGTCCGCTGGCCCTCCTAGAACCAGTAGAGTCTACAGCCAGAGCGAGTGGTGTTGGAATTGGAAACAAGTAATCTAACGCTTCTGAAGTAATCGAAGTATCGACACGAGAACGGAGCGGACTACAGCGAAACAACACGCGAGTCAACAACCATAACAGATGGAGGTTACGCGAATGTCAAACGTCGCTGACCTTTGACTCGACGAAAAATACAGTACGACAGCAAGGACACATAACTGATTCGATACTGAGCAGTTACCCGAGTCGTCACTGTATCGAACTGCAACAGCAGAAAACAGTTAAAGTAGAACTCTTCATATTCCTTTGTAATCATATAAAAGCTTTGTATGTCTTTGCTATTATCAACTTATCTTGCTCTCACTCACATACTAGCGCAGGGTGGTTCAAGTATTCTTATTATTACGCTTCCGCAATCTACAACATCCCTACTTCAAACAAGATCTTAGCCTTGAAAGATCCTAAGGGCTATTTTCTCAGCCCAATATGGTATGAGAGCAAACAAGGCAAGATCGATTTCAAAAACTCCTACGACAACACAAGAAATGGCAACACAGAAAGAGAGGAGCTCCTCCAACGGATCTCTCGGCACTACTCCTACTCCACCTCCAGCCTCTGGCCTACAGACAGAGGAAGGCACAGTAACAAGACCAACTGCGGAGTCGACAAAACTCCCGTGAATCAAGCAGCAGGCTTCGACCCAAACATGATGGAGAAGTTCTTCTCCTTCATGTCCTTCTACGAGCAACACCAGCAAGCAGCTCCTGCGCAATCAGACAACAGCGACAACAACAACAGAGCTACTCCGATGAGCCTCGACGGTTCATCTTATGCACGCGGAAATCAGCAGCAACCTACTTTTGCTCCGTACGAACCTCAACGTGGCTCCATCAGCTTCGTGCCACACCAACAGTCTTCACCTGGACAAGAGAAGACATTGGACGCGCTTCAGGTGCAATCACAATTTGCACACGTTTTAAAACTGCAGACATCAACACCTTTCGACGGAAAAGACTTCTATACAAGGTCATTCCAATTCGAGCTGATGATGGAGGGCGCGCAAATACTTGGATTCTTCGACGGGTCCCTGCCATACCCAACGCATGGGACACAATATGACAAGCAGCAGTATACATACTAGTCGCTGATGGCGTACACGATACTTCTTCGAAACATAACTGTCACCGAATATGCACGGTTGTGCATATAAGGTGCCAGTTTTGCTGCGGTGTAGTTCCAAGTGTAATATTACTGTATGTGAAGATTTGGGGTGTAGGTAGTTGGGGACCAGGGAGAGTGTCGCGAAGTTGGTAGGAGAGCTCCGAGGAGTGCAATCCAAGGAACCAATGTGGATGCACCAACCCAGGCTCGAAGCGCACATTGAGAAATGCACGCTTCGAGCCTGGGCCAGGTAAATTCACTCTCACACACACACACTCGTTGCTTTCTGTTTGTTATCCTTTCGTATAGTGGATCGTTGTTACCTTAATCCTACAGCTAGGTGACACACCACTCAGGGAGGACCCTTGGGGTGGGAGCTTTGTCTCTTTCATAACAAACGGAAAGGAGTGCGCGCGTGCAAGGATGGACGAGTATGAGCTGCGTTATGGCAGGACGTATGGTCGTCGCGAGGAGGAGCGCGCATGGCGCGGACACTCGCATGAGCGTGGGCGATCGCTGGAGAGATCGCCGCGGAGGCCTGCCTTTCGCGCGGATCAGGTGACTCTCGAGCCCGAGCGCCGAGCGGGCGGATCCGCACGAGCAGGAGCAGGCGGATCGGGATCGGCTCTGGCGGGAAGTGATCCGTGGCGAACGGAACCGCGCCATGGAGCAGGTGGCGATCGAGGGTATCGTCAGGAGACGGGAGCGTATCGCTCGCCGGAGGCAAGCTATCGCCGTCGCGAAGATCGGAGTCGCGGGCGAGGCTTGGAGGAATTGTTTTCGGGCCGAGAGGGAGACCTCAATGCTGACGAAGAAGAAGTGGACGAGAGTACGGACACGTCGCAGAGATCCGAGCGTGACGACGAGGCTGAGGTCGGCGGCGGAGCCCAGGAGGAGGGCGCAAGCGAGCAGCGCGACATGCCCGCGGAAGCAACGGAGGCAAACCCTGCTAAGGTAGGCGAGGCGGAAGAGACAGTCGGAACTGGCAGCGTACCAAGCGCGCGTAAGGAAGCGCACGTTTCTGGACAGCAGGCGCACGGCGGGGAGCAGGGTGGCGGAGCGTCGCGCGCGCCAGATCTGCGCCAGCAGAATGACGGAAAGCGGAGAAGCGGTCCGCGCGCGCCAGATCTGCGCCCGCATCATGACGAAAGGCGGGGAGGCGGGTCGCGTTCGCCGGATCCGGGGAGGTATCACAGCGGAAGACGGGAAGGCGTATCGCGTTCGCCAGATCCGTGGAGGAATCGCAGCGGGAGGCGGGGAGGCGGGTCGCGCTCGCCGGATCCGTGGAGGAATCGCAGCGGGAGGCGGGGAGGCGAGTCGCGCTCGCCGGATACGCGTCAGCAGCATCACGGAGCGCGGGGAAGCGGTGTTAGAATGTAGAACTGAACGAGAATGTGTGAAACTAGGCAGCAGGGTGATACAAGTAGGAAACCCTAGCAATGTTGTACCCCCTAAGGCTAAACCCACTATAGCCTACACAATATGAACATGTATAATGTTT